CCACACACGCATCACATATTTATACAGTACAGCCCCTCCTCCTGATGTCCCGCCTTCCACTCCCCATAGGATGGAACTTTCCCTCCAAACCCATGACAGACAGGTAACATCAGTGCTGTATGTAACAGTAAGTAGTTAGAAAAATGTAGAATATTTGTTCTTGGTGTGGAGAATTCTGTGAGGTGAAAAGATTTATTTCAGAAAGGAGAAGAACTTAGAACAAAACTCTTGGGGACAAGTTGAATAAGGAACCGGAAATCTAAATTGAATAAGGAACAGGAAATCCTGACTAAGGACAGCCATTAAGTGGTCTGAACTTCATAAGCCAACATTTATGTCACTCTAACTCATTCAGTGGGTTTTTGTAGCTGGAACTAACTATTTGGATTGAGTTTTTTATGCTCCAAGGAAAAGCCTACCATCAGACATTTTGGAGTTGTTCATACACAGGGTCACCCTAAGTTGGAGGTGACTTGACAGCCCATACAAGAACAAGGGACAGGTAATTTCCAGAGATCCATGAGCTACAAAGCTTTTCCCTGGACTTATCCCACAACCTGCAACTCTCAACAAAATGTGTTTTGTTACAAAAATTGGTTGATTTACTTTCTCTCTCAAAAAAAGTCCCCTTGCACCTTCTTTTAGAAAAGAAAATTCTTTCAAAAAAATCAAAATTGGGAGTTTGAGGAGCCCATGGATGTTGGAGGAGGCCCTCAAAACATGGCAACATTGCCTCTCTTAAAGGATAGAAGGGAACTTCTGTAAAAGCAATGGGGGCCTGCGGGGCAGGGTACTTGAGAATAGTGTGGTGCCCATATTAAACTGATGCAATCCAGCTTCTTTGTCTTTCTCACTTACAAGCCAATTTGTAGATGTCCAGTCCAAGGCATTACTGCCATGCATGAGGATGGGAGGTTAACACTTCCTGAACCACATGTTTCTCCAAATTTCTTTATACACACACACACATGAAAGAAGGTTTCAACACCCCCATGCCTATTTTGTCATATGCATGCTTGTTGTAAGTAAGTGTGTGTGTGTGTGTGTGTGTGTGTTAATTGCACACTATACTTAAGGTACTGTTTTGTATAGCCTTTAATACTCAATGCCTTTCTTCTGATGAGTGAAAGGAAGCATATAGTTATCAGCACATGGCCTGTCTTCAGAATATGTGGGATGTACTGTATGTTGAAAGATCCCTGGAGAGATGTACCTCTCTTTATGTACTGGAGAAAAAATAATAATAATAATTTCATAAATAATTAAATTCCTTGCTATAAGATTTGGCAAAGTCATCTAATATGCATGGCTTTTTAAAGGACTGAATATATTAGTGAGGATAAAAGTTTACCAGCAATTTTTCGCCAGCCATGGCCCCCCTACATATGAAGCTAACATACCTCTTGAGTGCCAGATGCTGTGAACAAGCAAGAGGGGGGGAAAGCAGTATGTGTCATTTTTTTTGTCAAGCTAGAAATGCTTCTTTCCCTCCTATGATCCACATGGGACATCCCAGAGGCACCCATTCTTGTCGTTCTGAGATCTCGGCTGACATTTAGAAACATCTTGCAGAGGCAACTCGATTAAGGAATGCCGTGAGAGACATTCTGAGGGGTTTTTTTAGATTATGGGCTCATCTGCCTGAAGGACTAAAAGAAAACAGCATTGCCTGAGAAGAAAAGACCTTCGTTTAGTAAAATCGGCTCACAGATCTTCCACAGGTTTTGTTGATAACAGGGCAGGGCAAACAAGCCAGCCCTCTCCATAGGGTGAGGAGGCTACCTCAGGCAACAGGTGCTGAGTGTCATAAAACAGCTGCAGATTTTTGATGTGGTGCTATTATATAGTTACTGCCAGGGAGTGAAAGATGTGTTTGTGGAGTTTTCAGTTTCTAGTACCCAAATAACTTGGCTGACCTCATATAACTCTGCACCTTGACTATGTGCCTGGGGACCTACTCACCTCAAATAACAAAATGTTTTGTTAGCGTTTTTGCAAACCTCACACACTGCCTTCCTTCCATGCCTCTGAATTCAAAGAGAGACATGCCTCTCTGCTAAGATTTTTTTTTCCTTCTCTGTCAGTCTGTTGGATGCCAGTATGTCTCTTAAGGCCTGTTGCTGCAAGTCAGTCATGTCTATTCTTAGTTTGCTGTTATTTATTCAACTGTAAGTAATAAAAATCTTTATTCTTTCTCCAACTAATGTCTCAGAGTGAGTTACTGAGACTAAGTGCCAGTGGATGAGAAAAAGAGGTGGTCTACTCTGGGGAACTTGAAGCTAATTCTGCCCTGTGAATTTTTTGCTGCATAACTAGAGGAATTTTACCAAAATTTTAAGCTCTGTAACACATTTTGGGCTGGCCCTTCTAAGCACTGAGTAGTGTGTTAAAGCAGTGGTCTCCAACCTTGGGCCTCCAGATGTTCTTGGAGTTCAACTCCCAGAAATCCTGGCCATCAGAGGTGGTGGTGAAGACTTCTGGGAATTGTAGTTCAAGAACATCTGGAGGCCCAAGGTTGAGGACCACTGTGTTAAAGTATTCATATCTAGTTACTGGGGAGGAACAGTAACTTTTTGCCTTTAAAAAGAATGCTACTGCCTCTGTGCTTGGCTTGCAGATTTCCCATAGGCTCAGGGCTGTCACAATGAGAAGCAGGAATCTGAAAAAGATAGGCAGTCGCTCTGATCCAGCATGACTCTTTTTATATTCTTCCCCCCCCCTTATGTAAAGCAATCACATGACAATTTCACCACTTCTCAATAGGTTTTGTATTTGCATTAAAATGCATTTTCCCTGCATGGTAACCGTTTTTATGGCAGTCCTTGTTAAGGATATGGACCTCACAGCTTCTTGTTCTTGGACAGAAATGAAGGGAAGGATCTCCCCTCACTCCTAGTAGTGTGATACCTCTGTGCAAATTCCCTCCTCCCCTGAGAAACCTCACAGGAAATATTGTGGGGGGAAATTCCCCAGGCATTTTTTTTTTCTGGAAGAAATGCAAAGCTGCGCAGATTATTGCCATTCCTGTGCTGAATGGTGTCTTGCCTTGCAGAATGCATCAGAAGAGCAGAAGACACAGCAAGCTAGGCAGAATTGTTATATTTCCTGGACAGAATGACATATTTCCTGTGCAGAATTCACAAGAAGGGGCATTAAACTGCACGGGATTTGGCAGTTTCCTGTATAGAGCAACAGGTAAAAAACGGGGGCAGGATGAGACCTGAGATTCATTTCCGTGGAAGCTGTGTGAAATCTCTCTGATATAGGAAGAAGCCTCAGCAACTCACAAAGAATAAGACATTTTGCAAGTACTTATCACATCCCTCATCTTTTAACACTCATTAATAGAAGCAGGGGCTCACCCTACTGTAAAACTGACAGGCAGGGGAGGGGAGGGGGGTGCTTCTGTGGGGAAAGCCCCTGTGATGTCCCCCAATAGTTATGGATTTGATCCAAGGGCCCTTTTACATGGGCATTCATACAGATGGACTGAAAGTTGTACAAGAAAAACAAAATTAAGTCTTACAGTGCCCTTCTGCTTGAGTGAATACTGGTACAAATTCCCTACCGCTTCCTGCCACAATCCTGGTGAGACTGCAGTGCTGCCCCTGTTATAGTACTGCATAAACGTACATGTAGTATGACGTAACACTTCCAGGATCCTTATTTTTTTCCCCTTCTGTGCCTAGTTTTTAATTTGGAGCGCTGTTGATTCTTTGCCTTTAAAAAAAATATAAATCAATATCAGGCCATTTTATTAGAAACAGGTAATATGGGCAGGAACATGAGAAATGAACAGGAGCTCAGGCTTACTTACCAGTGTCATCAGGCAATCGTGAATTCATTATGCTACAGTATCTTGGTTTCATTTCAATCAGTAAAAATGATGTTCTTGCCATCGTTTGATTTTCTGTGAAGCATCGAAGAACAAGGAGCGCTCGCTTTATCTGTTTATGTGCCACATTTAGAAATTATTGGAGGGGGAACCACAACTGCAGCAGTTGCTATGGCAAGCAGGGATTTCTCTATTTAACAAAAAACACAACTCATGGCATGAAATATAGATCTGGTAGAGTGATGTCCAGAGATGGGAGAACTCATATATATTGGGAGGGTTTATCATCTGCGGCATAATGGCATTAAGTCCAAACAGAAGACAGTTTTGGACACACAAGGTTTGCACCCATTTCCCTTGGCCAAGATGGCCTCTTCTAAAAGTACTGGCCAGAATCTTACTGATGGTTTGTGCTTGTGTACCTGAAATCTTAAAAGTTGTGGTGGTAAATTAGTGCTAACTGACTAATTAGCTAATTCCCGGGTGCACAATCAAATCCATGCTGAGCACGGCCCAAACAAGCAAACAAAGCAAGCAAACCATAAAGACACAGCTGTATCCTCCTGATCTCAGAACGACCAGAAATATTCACTATTTCTGAATATTTTCTGGAGCAATTTCTGTATAAGGAAAGCTTACAACTTTGTGTGTGTGTTTGGTTTAGAAGAGTGTGAGTAAGAGAAGACATGACAGAGGAACAGAAAAATAATGCACAGTCTGGGGAACGTTGATAGGGTTATGTTTTTCTCCCTTTCTCACAATATTGAACCATACATGCATGGCTCAAAATGTGGTCACTTAGGTGAACTCTACCTACTAAGTAGGTCTTATTATTAAGGGAATTGATGTCAGCAACAGTCACCTATTACACATCTAGCTGTGGATGCAGGTGTCTTCCAGTTAGCAATGGGTCACGAATACCACTGACTCTGGAAGCTTGTACACTCAACTACTGCCTTTGTTACGAGAGATTACAGATGGGCACAAACCAAAAAACATACTAGGAAGTTTGTCAAAAATCACTGATTCATTGGCTCTGGTCAGTTCGGGTTTGTCAAAATCAACTAACCAAAACAAACTAAACCAACAACCTTTTAAAGCAATTTAACTAACCTTTTAAAGCAATTTTTGGTTCAGTTGTTTGGTTTTGCCCATTTTCTTCCCCACTCACCCCCACATCCTGTCCCCCACCCCTTTCCCCTGCTCCCTTCCTGCTGCCTCCCAACCTCCTACTTGGTCCTGCCTCTACCTCCACCTCCACCTCCTCCATTCACTTACCAGTGGTGGCAGTGTGGCCTTTCAGGAGCCTTGGTGTTGCTTTCTGCGCATGTGCCAGGGTTCCAGGTGATCTCCCTGATCAACTGGGACCTGGGTGCATGTGCAGAGCATGCACATATTCCGATGTAGCAGGCCTGGCTCATGGAAGACAGGCAGCTGTCTTTCCGCATGTGTGTGCCTGTCACTTGGCAGGTATGCCATGCGAAGAGACAGCAAGCTGCACTCTCAGAAGGGAAGCTAGGCCTCTGTCTATGAAAATGGCAGTGGCAGAGGCAACATTCCCTCTCCATATGGTGCTGGATTAGGGTTGCCCATCTGCTTCCTGTTGTAGCTGGAACCCTATTCAAAAAGTGCAGGGCTCCACCTCCCCCCCCATCACTCCAGAAAATTAGGGGGAATATTAGGTGCTGGAGGAAGAGGAGGAGATTTTGGCACAAGGTAAGGAGGTGAGGGGGACAGTGGGAAGGAGCAGGTGGATGGCACAAGGATGTGGGGTTTAGATTCCCTTCCCCCCCCCAGGCATGAACTTTAAAAATAAACAAACTGATTCATGGTTATTTTTTTTTTCAAAAGTTCAGAAGGTTCATGGTTTGTGGGTAGCCACGAACCTTGAACCACCACAAACCACAATTTTTCTGGTTCGTGCCCATCTCTACCAGAGATTACATAGTAATGACATACAGTAAAAACAAAGGGGCTGCCTCTGATACATTCTGTTGACATCCATCCCAAAGCACTATTGATTGAAATGAAAAAGAATCATAAAATTATTTTCTGGTTAGCAAGCACGGCTGCCCTTCCTTCCTTTTCAAACTGCAGTTTCTGTGTCCCTCTAAGGCTCATATTTTTAGAATAGGTGTTTTCAGAAGATGAAGGATGTCGATTTTAGAATTTTCCACAACTGTGTACCTTGCATGTAATGCGCTTTGTTGTGTGACTGGCCATTAGAAGATAAATGTGGGTTTAATTTGCAAGTATCTCTAAGGCTATTCCCTTGTGGAAAATGTATTAACTGGAGTAAAGTGTTAATTTCCCATAATATCTAGTTTAATTCTGAACTTTTAACCTGCTCATGACACTTCAGGAGGGCCCAGTTTTGTTCTGTTGTGATCCAGAGGAACTTTGTTTCATTTCCAGTGAATTCTGAATTTGGGATATGTCAGAATCAAAAATTCTCCATCTTCCATTCTCTTCATGCTACTGGAGTTTGAAGCCTTAGTTGGTATGTCCAATGCAAAAGGCCTAGCCTCTCCCTCTTTTCTGGTAACATGTCCATACTTGTTTCACCTCACAGTTTACACTGCAGGATTTCATTTCTGGGTACCACAGATCATGTGTAAATCCAGAGGATTTGTTGATTGTAAAAAGAAAGTGGGAGCAGAGGAGGAGTCAGTACAGCGCAATATCTCTTTTCAGTAGAGGATCGTTTAGTTTTTTTCACGTAAGAGCTACATTGCCTTAGCAGGAATGTATTGGAGATCACGTGCTAGGAGTCAACAGGTCCTGCCCTCCCATTCTAACATTTAACATATACCCACACCCATATAGCAACTACACATACAAACAACTGCTCATGTTTAAAACACACATCAATACATACACACATATTTTTATGCATAATGGGTGCAAAGGGGGGCATTATTCAAGCCAACAGGAGCTTTTCCTAGGTCTAATTGCACAAAAAGGCAGTTCAAGGATTCAGCTGGTCTACAGTTCTTTTCCCACAGCAAAATCTCAACAACAACAACAAGAACCTGCCATTAGTACAAGTTAAAAGCTTCTCTTTGAACTTAGCAGGGGCAGATCTACTATGAAACCAATGAAGTTTAAGCTCCAGGGCCCCAAAACCCAGAGGGATTTTAATCCACATTTTTTTTTTAAAAAAAAAGTGTGGTGATCTGTCATGGAACAACCCCACTGAAGGAGTTACAATGATTATCTAGAACTCATTGCAAAGGAGGCCCCATAAGAGTTCAGGGTCCCAAAAATGTAGGCCTGCCTCTGGGCCTAAGTGCTGTTTGAGTTTTTGCAACCTTGTATGCTGCCTTTAGTAGGTTTGGCTGGGAGGGACCTTTCTGGGCTGGGGTGACTGTCAATCTGTCCAGCACTAACCTATAGTTCCCTCCTGCCTCTGAATTCAAAGAGAGCCCTGCCTCTCTGCTCTGTTGAAAGCAGTCATGTTTGTCAGTTTCCTGTTGATCTGTTAAGTAATGAAACTTCTTAGTCTTCTTTTTAAAAAATGTTTCAGAGTGAGGTATTGAGACTGTAAGTGCCAGTTAATGAGAAAAGGGTTGGACTACTCTGAGGAACATGAAGCTATTCTGCTCTGTAAATCCCTGCACGTCTGCTGTGCAGCTTGAGGAATTTAACCAAAACCTGAAAACTCTACAACAACTGCATCATGAAACAAATATGAGAAATTTCACAGTGCGCTGGTGGGTACAGATTTAACCTTTCCCTTCAGTTCCTATGTCACTGTGTCATCCACTTTGAATGACAGAATAATCTTCCCAGTGAAAGCAAAAGAAGCCTCCTGCCCCCAAGACTAACTGTTGCCTGGGGAAACATCAAGAGGAGATTGTAGGCTGGATTCCTCCCCTATACCTCATGTTTTACAGTGGTGCCTCACATAACGAGTGCACCGTTTAACGAAGAATCCGCATACCGATGCGGATTTCCCCATTGCTAATGCGAGGGCATCCTCGCATTGCAATGGGGGAACAGCTGTTCGGCCGTTCCAAAATGGCGGCCGGACACCCAAAATGGCTGCCAGAACACAAAAAATGGCCACCGGGACACCAAAAATGGCCACCGGGAAACCCAAAATGGCCGCCGGGACACCCAAAATGGCCACCGCAACATGGGGAAACATCGGAGACCGGTGAGTTTTGGGCCCATTCATTTAATGCGTTCCAATGGGTTTCCCCGTCCCACTTAACAATGTTTCCCCATAGCGAAGGTTAATCCGGAACGGATTAACCTCGCTATGCGGGGCACCACTGTAGTCCTATGAATACACTATGTGCCCATTGAGTGTGTCCAACAGTTTCACATTCTGATTTCAATGTCATCAAATACTAAATGAAAAATGCTACGTTTTGGCTTTACTAAGGGTAGATACAGATGCAGGCCTAGGAATAGACCTAAAAGAAGGAAGGGGAAAGGAAATAAAGATAAGAGGCAGCAGTAGCTTTCATGTATTGGTTGGGGGAAAGCCAGTCAGGGAATTGGTCGGTTTGGCCTAGATTTCCCGGTAAGCTTTATTCCAACTCATACTCAAAGGAACATTCTAAGTTGTGAGGCTTCCTGTCAGCTCTGTTCTCACATCAAAGATGCTTCAGCAGTAGATAATGTGCTTTAAGACCCAAATGTTACTGCTAACCCAAATCTGTGATAAAATGAACCCCTTGAAATCTGAGGTATCCTAGCCTCCCTAAGGAGAGTTTAGCACTCAGTCAGAGAGTTCCATCAGGGAATTGGTCGGTTTGGCCTAGATTTCCCAGTAAGCTTTATTCCAACTCATACTCAAAGGAACATTCTAAGTTGTGAGGCTTCCTGTCAGCTCTGTTCTCACATCAAAGATGCTTCAGCAGTAGATAATGTGCTTTAAGACCCAAATGTTACTGCTAACCCAAATCTGTGATAAAATGAACCTCTTGACATCTGAGGCATCCTAGCCTCCCTAAGAAGAGTTTAGCACACAGTCAGAGAGTTCCACGGGCCACTTACCTACCACCTTCACACTGAGGCAAGTCCCAATACCTCAGCATTGTGGTAGCGTAA